CGCCCTAGCGAAGGCGGCCACCTCCTTGCCCGAACCGGCAGACGCTCTCCCGACACTCGCTCATTTGCGCAGGACTGCCCGGCAGCAGTCCAGAGACGCTTTTGAAGCCTGGTGGGACGCCTCTGCACCCGACCAGTACAAGCCACTGCATCTCAAGCCTACCACCGGCTGCCCACCAGAACTAGAGCTCCCACGACCACTGCTCCACCACCTGCTCGCGGCACGATCTCGTCACGGAGACTTTGCCGACTACCACGAGAGACTCAACCACGACGATGCGCGGCTGACATGCTCATGTGGCCGACGAAAAGAACCTAGTCATCTGTTCTATTGCCGAAAGATCCTGCCGCGACATCGGATGAGGCTGGCTCCCTCACCGACTGCAGCAGTCAATCGCGCAATAGGCAGAGACTTCGACAAGTTCGTCAAGCTGGCGAAGGCAAGCTCGTTCTTCGAATGGGCGTGTCCTCGCCACTAGGCGAACTCCACCCTCCCTCTTCTCCTTTCCTTTGTTTTCTTGCATGGTCAATGCATGTTGAGACCCGTCCAGGCGGAGGGTGTGACACCACCCTTTGCCCGCCCGGGTCAATTGAGGCTGCTCTCGCAGCCTCGGACGACGGCCTTTTTCAGGCCAGTAGAATACGGCACTTGGATGCCGCGCTTGGACGACCCGCTGACGGGCACCGAGTACGAATTGGAGCGCCTCTGAGCCGATGAAATGCTGGATGGGGGTTTGTTTACTTTTCGCGATGGGGGAGGGAGGGGATGCGAGGAGGCAATCTCTGAGAGACCCACTAGATCCTGTATCGATAACGTAGGACAGACCCACTAGCCCAGCACGTCCTGTGCCCAAAAGGGACCTGAGCGGCCTCACGGCCGCTGGACGGAAAATACACTAACTAACTAACTAGCTCTCACCTTGGCCATGTCATGACTGCCTTTGATGTCATTCAGAGGCGTGCATCGCGATCCAAGAATCCCCCAAGTTTGTCCGGACCGTTTCCTCCATCGTGTGGGTGATCCATGTCGGGGCCTTGGGAAGTGGATGGACCCCTAGCGAGATCGTGCGGGGCATGAGATCATCCATGATATCACGGCATTGCGCGACACTCACACCCAGGCGATTAGACTTTGTGAAGGTATGCATGTATTGAAGGGCTTCCTGCCATCGAGCGATTCGCTCGATTTGTCTTGTCGCCTTTATCGGACAGCCAGGATTTTAGGCTGGCTGCACCCCGTGTCGCCTTCCCGTCGCTACCCGCGGGGTGAGACATGGGGGGCGTTGTCGCCGCACTGGCTGGAGATAGCTTATCCCAGCGAGCCGTGGTGAGACGACGATATCGGCGCAGATCCCTTGATACGTCCTTGACGCCCAACAATGCCAATATGATTCGCCACGAAATGCTTACGGCTCAGCTCAGCCGCCCTCTTCGTAAAGCTCATCGTCGACGCGTGGCCACTCCACCTCAAACTGAACATCGTCGTTATCGTCGTGATCAGCGCCGAGGACTGCAAATGCCACAACCGAGTTGTCCGCAAGGCCGCATTTGGTCGGCGTAAACTCTTCGTCGGCGCCGACCTTTAGCCGCTTCCATCCCCGGGACGGGTCGTTTGGCACGGAGAGCACGGCGTATGCCAGCTTCGCGTCGGCCGGGACCGGCGTCTGCTTGGGCGGCGCAACGGACGTGGTCAGGCCGGAGGGGTACCGCTCCTGCAGCACCTCGCGCAGCAGCTGTGTGACGTTGGACATGGGCTCCAGGGCGTCGACGAAGAGGTAGATGGTGTGGATGCCGTGCTTGAACCGCACCGACAGGTGAGCGTCGTCGACGGGGGCCTGGACCGCGACGTGAGCAACAGCGTCCAGCGGTATCACGGGTTTCAGCAATACAAACCATAGTAATCAGCGGCAGCCGACGGGCAAGGTGACGTGAAGACTTTGTGATGGTGAGGCGCTGACGCTGGGCATGAGATGTTTGGATGCGAGACGGCTCACGGCTCGCATGCGCGACATCACGTGCCAGCGCGTGGGTTAAAGGGACAGTGCGCTACGCCGTGCGCCTCTATGAGAGCACGGTGCTGCGGAGGTCCGTCGCGACTGCTGCAGATTCGCCATTTCCCGCGCACACACCAAAGAGTCGGCCGCGCTCGTGAGCGGTTTTGACCACCAACCATCAGCAAACGTGTCGACCTTGCCGAAGCCCAGCAGCCGCTTCCTCACCCCCCGGCGCTGCCCGTACTACGTTTCGCATGCACCTGCACGTGCGGCTGCCTCTGCTGCGAGCGCATTCCTGTGGCAGGCCGACATTGACGAGACTTGTGTCTCTAAGCGCCGACGCAAGGCCAGCAGCACGATGATCGAAAACTCCACAATGGCGTCCTCGAACGACGGGATTGCGAGCCGCCGCCTACCTGCAGCTGACGACGCCGTCCTTCGGAGGGCAGCCCTCCCGGGCCAGCCATCGATGCCGCTCGAAGCCGAGCCGTCAAGCTCCCCCGCAGAGCCGTTCCCGCGCCTGTCCATGTCGACACCGACACGCCTGCTGCTGGGATCCGTGTCGTCGGGCATCGTGGGATTCACACTGGGGGCCATGCAGGGCGGGCAGACGGCGCAGCTACGGTTCCGGGCGGAGCACGCCCACAAGATGCCCGACACGACGACCGGGTGGTACTTTTACCACAAGTCCAAAAACTACCACGCCATGCAGGGCGGCATCCGCGAGGGCTTCCGCATGGCGGCCAGGACGGGCCTCTGGAGCTTCGTCGCGCTGGGGCTCGAGAGCACGGTGGATCGATACCGCGGGTGCAGCGACATGTTCTCGACGACGGTCGCGACGCTTACCGTTGCTGGCGCGTTTTCGTTGTGGCGTGAGTGCTTCCCCATCTTCCTCAGAGACATCCTGGCTGCGCGACCGTCACGATGCGCACCGCGCGCACTGTCCATCCATCCGCCCCATACCTCGCCTCGTCTCGGCTCCTGCTGCGAGGGCAGCATGATGTGATGACCAGCAACGTGGATTGCGTCTGGAGATATGGAGACGAGAACAGAGACGAGGGGGGGGATGGAATGGCCAGCGTCGGATGCTTATTACGTGTGGGGAAAGTCAAAAACAATTGCTAACTGGCGCGCCGACCGTCGGCCGCACCGACCACAGACCGATTCTCGCTCTCGACTGCCGCGCGGACGGCCAAGCTGGGGCTGCTGTTTGGGCTCGCATATGGGGGTGTCCAGGACCTGGTCGGCTTAGCCCGCGGCAGACCGATTGGGTACGTCGAGATTGTCCGACGCCGGTTTGGGGCTGCGTCGCACAACAACAAGGACGAGCCTGCAGGACGAGGCGGCGACGACGGGGAGCGGGCCGGGCTGGCGTGAGCCCGGTCCGTTGTTTGCATCGACGACGAGCGAACTTGGCCGCGGGTGGGGAAGCCGGGATATTTTTTTTCGCATCACGATGGCTTCCTCCACCCAGCCCAGTCCAGCCCAACACGACTCAAACGCCGATGCCATGCGTTGCGAGGTCGGCGGCCGCGTCGGACGATTCGGGAGTGGCTGGTGGCCCCGACGGTGGGATGGGCCACCTCACCTTGTTGACCTGGTCGGGGTCAGGTCAGCTGGTCCGCCACCCACCACGGCTACCGCACCATCACATCACATTACGGAGTGCATTACATTACATTACATTACATTGCGCCGCGAGACACCCACACTCGCGGCACGCGTCCAGCCGGCATCACGATGACAACGATGGAGGCGACACTCGACGACGGACGGCGATGACGGGGGGAGCCAGCGCACGACCCGTGGGCGCAGGCAGGCAGGCAGCCGCAGACGGACGTCCGGTCACCGGTGGCCGTATCTGGCTACCGTACCTTTTTTATCGTGCAGGTCCCCGGGGGGG